ATAAAAGAGAGAATATAGAAAAAGAAAAAAATACTGAAAAAGAAAAGAAAAATAAAAAGAGTGAGAAAAAGAGGGAGAAAGATGAGAGTCAAATACCACAATTAAAGGATTTATCATATCCTCGTCATCCTTCCAAGAAAGATAAAGAAAGACAATTTGCAAGATTCATGGATATTTTCAAGCATTTACAGATTAATATTCCAATTATAGAAGCTATGGAGCAGATGCCGACTTATGCAAAATTCATGAAAGAGTTGTTAACTAAGAAAAGGAGATTTACTACAGAAACAGTGGAGCTAGAAGCAGGATGCAACGCTATAATTCAGAAATCATTGCCTCAAAAGTCCAAAGATCCTGTCAGTTTCACTATACCAGTCGCAATTGGGACATTACAAGTAGGTAAGACATTACTCGATTTGGGTGCTAGTATAAATATAATGCCTTTGTCTATGCTTAAAAGAATAGGAGACTTGGAAGTAAAGCCTACAAGAATGACACTGCAACTGGATGACAGATCTGTAAAGATTCCTTATGGAGTAGCAGAAGATGTTTTAGTTAGAGTGGATAACTTCATATTTCTTGTTGATTTTGTGATTATGGACATGGAGGAAAATGAGAAAGTCTCATTGATCCTAGGAAGGTCATTTATGAAGACTGTCAAAGTTATTATAGATGTTGACATGGGCAAGTTGAAAATTAGAAGTGGAGATGATGAATTTAATTTTAATCTGTTTGAAGTTGTACAACAGCCGGAAGACAAGAAAAATTGTCTCAGAATAGACACTTTGGAGGAATTAATCATCTCAACTGAAAAACAAGATTACAAGTCTGTTGTACAACCCCAAAGACATCTTAGTCTGACTATGAAGGAAGTTGTTCAAAGAAAGGTGTTGAAACCTCCTGAAGCAGGTATGATTTATCCAATCTCTGATAGTTGTAAGGTTATTCGCAATGAAAAGAATAAATTCGTTCCCACAAGGACAGTTAAGGGATGGAGAATGCGTATATATCACCTTGATCACTCACCTGCATGAGGCCTAAAGCAAATAGGCGTCAAGCTAAAGATGTTAAACAAGCGCTCCTGGGAGGCAACCTAATGTTTTGAATTTGTTTTTTTTTTTTTGCAGTTTAAGTTTTTTGTGCATTTTTCTTCCTTAGGTTCTTTCTTTGCAATATTGCTCCAAGTACACAGTGCACTTCTCCTCAAGACTTTGAAGCCTTACTTCAATGGCCTAGGGACAATCAAACTTTTCTGGAGGGGGTGAGAAAGTCTCAGAGCTGAGGCCGAGGCACAAGATAAGGAGTACATGACAAGTGAAGAAAATGAGGGAGGAAACTTACTTTGTTTTTAATGTTTTTAATTCCTTTGTTTTTAATTTAATGTTTTTAATTGCTTTATTTTAAATTTTGAATTCCCTTGTTGTCCCATAATTTGTTTTAGAGTCATATATGAGATTATTGCTTATTGTCTAATTCAAATCTAGAACGTGAAAAATAATTTTGATTGTTTCCAATAACAAGTGATTTTGGGGTATTGAGTATGATAGTGAAAAGGAATTGATGAGGAAAATTAGGAATTAACTGAATTGGAGAAGCTAGCTAAAACCCAGGTGAGCAGAGTACCAAAAACAGATAAATTGAGTGTCAACACTTTGTGATGATAACTGATATTGGTTGATTCTTTGATGTAATTGCATGTTGGTAAGACTTGAAAATGATAAAGGCTTTTTTTTTTCTTTGTAGTAGATATAACCCAGAGCCAAATAGCCAACCATGCATTAATTATAGGACATCCATTTAAACCCCTTCTGAGCCAAAAATAATATTGTTTCTTAAACAGAACCCATAAGCCTAAACACTATTTATCTACCTTCCTATATTTGAGAAAGGAAATGAGTATAAATGTCACTATTTTTCTTATTATTGAGTATTACTATTGTTGTCCTATAGGTATTGTTGGGGTGTTATTGTTAAAAAAAAAGTGTAAAGAAAAAACAAAGCTTAAAAAATTTGCAAAGCTAAAAAAAAATGCATGCAAAAGCAAAAAAAAAAAAAAAAAAAAAAAAAAAAGACAAAAGGGGGGTAATAACTTGTGAGATTGGACAAAATCATGAAGTTTGAAACCTGACTTGGGGAATTTTTAATCAAGAATCATTCATATGAGTTGAATTTCTCAAATATTTTTGTATATCCCAGAAAAACCAATAATTCTTTCTTAGCTCAGCCCCATTACAAGCCTCAAAAGACCTTTTGATTTAAGTCTTATTTAACAATTGTTGATTGCTTGAAGATGATTATCAATATTGGATTGTCTAAATGAAGTGATTGAATGAGATAAACACTTACCTGTGAGAATTAGAGATGAGTATATATAACTCTATTTGAGAGATCATGCTTCTTTGAGGATAGTTGATGACTAATTATTCTTTGTTGGTTTCTATAACTTGAATGCTTATGTGTTCTATTTTCATTTGGAGTTGTGAGCATCACCCCTGAAAATTTTTATGTTGTGGTTCTAGAAGAGAAAGAGATAATAGGTGATGATTTTGTTTTGGAAAAACTACTTTGCTTGGGACAAGCAAGATTCTAGGTTGGGGGGAGTTGTTAAGTGGTAAAAAGTTGATATAATTATGCCTTGAATTGTTATGAAACCACTTAACTTATGTTAATTCTAATATATTTTTCTCCCAATATAGGATGAATTCGAGAATACCTTGATACAAGAGTAAGAAGCATAATTGTCAGTATAATTGGAGTAAAATTGATAGAAAGAAGAGCGCTTAAGCGAATGAATGATGTGAGGCCCGACCCAAATTCTCTTATAAAAAGATAAGTTGTGTTTTGAGAAAAACAAGTTGTGTTTTGAGAAAAACAAGTTGTGTTTTGAGAAAAACAAGTAGTCTTGGAGGAGAGGAGGCACGACTACTGTTAGGGTTTTGTCTAATCTTCATCAACTCTTCACTTCTTCATCAATTGGAGCATTGTAATGGCCAACATTAGTGACTAACTTCATTCTCTTAAGATTGATGTACTTCCTTTGAACTCTTTTGTATCATGGTGATATTTTGAGATATTAATCTATGCTTTAATGTTGTTATTTTTATCCTTTATGCTTTGGAATGATTTATTCTTGATTGTTTGAGGTATGATTGGAAAATATATCTTGAACCCTAGATTACGGTAAAAATATTTGTTACGTTAATTTAGGAATGAAATGAATGTATCAATTGCATAAATACCCTAACCCTAATACTGAAAAATCTGTTAATTGTGTGAGGAATCAACATTTATTAGGTTTTCTTATGAGTTTCATGTGTGAGGAATCAACATGGATGATTTGAGTAGGTGACATTAACATTGTTAGATTAATTGACGTTCTTAATTGACATAACCATTACAAAAGAGGAATAAGGAAGGAAGTCAATTCTAAATACCTTTAATTGATATTTTCTAAATAATTTATAGTTCTTTGTCATTTAAATTCAACTCAACTTTTATTTGCAAAACCCAATTTATTTAATATAATGGAGTATTTTCATTGAAATTGTTCCTCCTAAGATCCACTTTTATTTTATCCAAATATTATATTACTGTTCATAATTTTGGTAAGGGGAGCCAATAATTCAACCTACACCAACCATCTTCACCCCCATCGCCTTCGCCGGGAATCATTAGCTTACGGACAACCACTAGTTTTGGGACCAAGAAGAGGAAACCACATTTCTTTCCAAGTTGTTATTTCTCTATTTCTGGTTTCTATTTGCTTTGTATATGTGTTGATCTCTGCCTGGATTGTGTGCTTGATCTATGCTTTCTCTTGCTCTATTTTGGTGGACCAGTGAGGAGTTGGTAGAACTTGGACCGAAAGCTTGATTTTGTTTGTCTCACTGCAGATTGGTGTTGCCTTGTTCCAGTTTCTGGATTATAGCCTTCTTTTGTTTCTGTTTGATGTTGATTTTGCATCTTGGTTGAACGTCTCCAATTTTGCATGTTTTATGTTGCGTGATATAGTTTTGGGGGTCTTGTGGTGATGTTCACCTTCTAAAAATCATCCACGGCCACCCCCTTTTGAATCAGCTACCCATTCCCCCACCTACAACCTCCGTTTCACACCTCACTCTCCCATCGCCCCACTGTTGCGCACCGCGACCACTCTGCTCCTCTCACCATCATCTCTACTCCCTTTAACCTCCCATATGCACCCATTTCCTTCACTGAACCCACTTTAGCATGGATGGGTCATTGGAACATACTACATAATTTTTCTTTTTCTCTTTTCTGATATTTTCCTTGTTATAGCCTTGCTTATGATCTCACTGATTTGCAGGCAAAGAAATTTCGAAATTCTGTGTCAAGTATCTACACCAGCAGGTCCTGAAGAGTGAAGCTTACTTAGCTGGGGATATAGGCACATCTTTAACGAAATCTTTTCTCAGGTATTTGTTTGTTTTGATTTAGAGCTTTTGTAATCTTATTGGATGCCAATAAAAGTCAGGGGATGGGATAATTTGTTGATATTCTTTACCTGTAAAAGTTAATTTGGCTTAGGCTCAACCCTGTGGTATATCTTCAACTTTTGTGCCCAATTATTTACCCTATCTATCTACTCAAGATATAAATGTAGCTAGGAACTATAAATAATATTAAAACATTTTTTTTCTCCTATCTTTTTTCTTCTTTTCCTATGTGTTGTTGATGTTTTAAAAATTTCAATCATCTCTTCGATTTCTTTGTAGCCTTATGCTAGTCAAAATATTAGGAATGTCACCGCCTAATCTGGAAGTCATTTTCAATATTAGTGCTTATTTTTATGTATATTTCTTTTACTTCATGGTTAAAATCATTTGCATATTTGGAGCTTTATGGATCCATAGGTTTCATGCCAATAAATGGAAATGGAGATATGGCATTTAGATGGAACTGCTTCTGTCAACATTATGCCCTGTTTTTTCATATTTTCCTTCATATTGGCAGAATGGATGAGATGATGTGTAGGAAAGAGGGTGGAGAGAATTAGCAGTCTTGGGGGATAAAATAGAGAAGTTCTCTTGTATGCTAGAGGGCTTTATTTGGTCTCCTAGGAATAGTGAAGCCAATGACCGTTTTGATGATTGGGCTTTTGAGGAGGTAATAATTAGGAAACATTTTCTTGCACCATCACTGCTTGCTTCTCTAACTTATTCCATTGTTAAAATGCATGTGGGAAAGGTTTTAATGTATGGAATTTAATCTTGTAATAAATATATTGGACGATTTTAAATTTAAGCTTAGCAATTCTATTTTTTTATTATTTTTTTAGAATGTTAATATAATTTTAAAAAAATCCATTTAACATACTTTGTACTGATTAGTATATTATACTTGATGAGTTATTTGCACAACTTCCTTTGCTTAAACTGCTTATGAACTAAACAACATTTTTCAGTTATGAATTACCACTTTCTTAAACCTTAGGGTGATTCTTTGCTTGTATATGTTAGATTTCATTATTTTAGCTTTGTTTCATGTGTTTTGTAATTTTTGTCTACCTCATACTTAAAGTGCTTGTGAACTATGAGAGAGCGATAAAGTTGTGTACAAATCAACATAACAATTAACAGTCAATTCTTATAAAATATCATGTAATATGTAACAATTTGACAGTGACAGAGGGTCCTTAATGATTTACTGATTACAACTACACATTATAAGGTTTAGTTTTTTAGGGCACCTTAGCCTATAGCTTTGTATCTTTCATTTCTCTACTGATAACCTAGGGAAATTGCATTTACCTTTTCTTAAATAACACCCTTATTTTATTTTGTAAAAAGCCTCATCTTTCCTGAGATAGCATCAAAGGTTAACCCTTTAAAACTTTGGTGCTCTTCATTTATGTTGCCCAAATATCAAATTTTCTTCCAAAAATATCAAAGAAACAATGAAAAGTAAAATGAGAGAAACAAGAAGATCCATCTTTTTACAGGTATTAGGTAGCAAAATTATTGAGAAGCTGGAAGCACACTGTATACCTTTGTCTCTATAACCGAACAACTTTTGCCTTCTAAAGAATAGTCAATCATGAGGTGTAGATTTGTGAAAGAAGTCTTGTAGGTGTTTCCTGTTAATGAAGTATGATCTGTTATTTTTAGAGGGTGTTACTTGATTAAACAAAATAAGGGAGTGTGTGTTACACTAGATAAAGCCTATAAGGCATATAGGTGTTTGTTTAAAAACTAGAGGGTTTGTTATTATCATTTTGAGAAAACCTTGGGAGAAGTTAGAATAATTTCCCCATAAGTTTGTTTGTCAATAGAAAAAACTAGAAATTGTAAGATCTGATGTGGGGCATACAACTCTTGAATCTTACTGTACAAAGTTTTATTCTGAATTGAGAATGTTATGTTGTAAATTAGGGGCCCCATTTTGATTTCACTGGACCAAACTCTGGAAGCACAGCTTGTGTGGTTGTCATCCGAGGAAACAAACTTGTTGTTGCTAATGATGGAGATTCTAGATGTGTCTTATCAAGGAAAGGCCAGGTATTCTCACCTTCTCTTTGCAGTTTTTTTGTATTCTCTAGTTTTACTAGGCATGTGATATGAGTTTACTGACTTTGAATCTTGAGTGTTTGCGTGATTTTGAAATGTTTCTATTATAATTTGAATAATTTCATTTTAGTTCTTAAGTTTTCACTTTATTATGTTTGATGACATTCATTCATAAATTAAAATTCGTTAAGGTTGATTAGAATATTATTTAGGATGATTAAAATTTAGGATGATTAATATTTAAGGATGATGACATTTACTATATATGATGATTAAAATTTTGGATCAATTAAGCAGGTACAAATTATGGAAAATTGAATATACAAAATTTAAAAAAAAATTTTAGTTTTGGTTAGATTAGCGACCGAATTTTCAGTCGCTACAAATATATTATAATATATAATTGAAATTTAGCGACTGAAACTATTTTATGGCTATTTTAAAGATTGATTTAAATTATTATTTAAATAATTCAATTAATGTATTAGCGACCGATTATATCGGTCGCTATTTTTTTTTACTATGCCACCAATTTAGCGACCAATTTAATATAGTAATTTTGATTGCTATTTTTGCGATTGATTTAGCGACCGATTTAAATTATTATTTAAATAATTCAATTAATATATTAGCGACCGATTATATTGATCGCTATTTTTTTTAACTTTGCCACCGATTTAATATATTAATTTAGGTCGATATTTTGGTTTCTAAAAAATAAGTGACCGAATAATGTAACGATCACTTTATCGATCGTTATCTTACGATGGAAATGAAAATTAGTTACTAACGAATTAACTACTTGACCTTTTACGATGACACATTTTGATCGTTAATTTTGGTCGCTAATTGATTAACGACCGATTTTTTGTTATTAATGAACGAATTTTTCTGGTCGCTAGAACTGTTTTTCTTTATAGTAGTATTTAATATAATTTTAGATGAGAATATTTTTTATACATTGTTATTATAATTTGCTCTTAATGTAATTATTTGAGGGAATATTTCTGTTAGGATAAAAAATATGAAATAATAATCTCGGGAGGTACATGTTATTAACCTAGGGTTTGAAATCGAAAAGATTTGAATAAAAATCAAGGTAATTCTTTCTTTCATATATTAGGAGGGTCATGTCCTCGTTTATGATACATATCCCATTTAATACAATATAACTTTTAGATTTAAATATGTTTTTAATATGTAAAATTTAGAGTTGATTTTTAATTTTTATTTAAATTTATGATTAATTTTTCTAAACCCACTTTGTAGGAGAGAATCTTCTCTTATATTAAAAAAATTGTATTTTAATATTTGTAATAAATGCAATACATGTATATTTTTTAAGGGCATGAACATAAACCAAAAGACATTATATGCAAGCCTTCAAATGTTTTATGTTCTCGTTGCGTTTATTATTCTTCCACCACGTGTACGAAGTGTCATGGATTTTTCGGTATAAGCATGCATTTTTCATTCATTCTTGAATGATTGAACTGTTTAAAGTTTCTTCCTGTAAGACAACAAAAATATTACGTGGGATGATTTTGGCATCTAAAAGATGCAGCAGACTTTGGAGTTAGCAAGTTGTTTAAGGTTGCTAAAACAGTTAAAAGAAGACAAACACATGATAAGTTTTGATACATCATGAAGGTTTTCTTCAACAGCGGAGAGCTAGGTAATATTTATCGTTAATCATGTTGTCTTAATTTACTAATTTGAATTATTAATTAATTTATAAGTATTGTCATCTTTTTTTATGTAAATAATTAATTTAATTTTAGTTTTTTTTAAGTAGTTGTAAAAATTTTCTTATAATCATTTAATCATGTAATTAAAATATAAAATATGTAACAAAGATACTTTTATCAATTATATATATATATATATATATATATATATATATATATATTATTTCTTTTTAAATATATAAAATTTTCTGTGAATTTTTTTAAAACAAATAATTTTACAAAAAAATAATTACGAATTTAAAATTGGCAAGCAATTTCATACAGATTTAAAATTAGGAAGGAAATTACTTGTGAATTTGAAATTAACATAAAATTGTACATGGATTTGAATTGAAAGAAAATATATACGGATTTCAATTTTTAAAAACTTATATGTAAATTTTTTCACATAAAATTTTGTAGGAATTTTTTACAAATATTAAATTTTTAGGTAATTTATTATCCATGATCAAATTACATGTTAAAATAATGGTAGGAAAATTCAAAAAAATTTGTCTAGTAATATCCATGATGATCTTATTGTTAATTTCCTTTTTAAAAAACGCGTGATAGATGATAAATTATTGGATTAAAGAATCTTTTGATTCTTAAACAAGTATACTAATGAAATTTTAGTTTTTCTTTACATCATAATAGGTTTGAAAATGATCGGTCACACCAAACAACAAATTTATTTTGTACTAACATGTATACTACATAATATAAAAGTTTAGTAATATAAACATATCTATTTCATTAGTTTTATCAATATGTATTGATTTAGTTAATTTTTTGACAATGATTATTGTAACAAGTCGCACATCTGGGAGGTCTCCTTACCGAGAGACCTTATAAAGTGAGAGGTTCTCCAACCTCTCGAGCTAGCTTTTGAGGGATGGTTCCCCTCCTTAGCCTTATATGGTTGTTACATTGGTGTTTTCATTGAGAGTCAACCAACTCGAGAAGAGATACCCACAGAAGGTTCTGACCGGTGAGTGAAGTGTCGGAGAGTGCGTCCATTATTATAACAAGTCTCACATTGGAGAGGTCTCCTTACCAGGGAGATCTTATAAGGTGGGAGGTTTTCCAACCTCTTGAGCTAGCTTTTGAGGGATAATTCCCTCTTTAGCCTTATGAATTGTTACAATTATAAACTTTATATATATTCATTATATTATATAACAATATCTATTTAGATAAATATTTTCAAAACTTAATAATTTTTATTAGAATTTGGAGAATAAAATACATTTTTAAGTTCAATTTTTATACATTTGGTAATAACACACCATACCTTTTTGAAAGTCTTTAATTATATTTATAGTAAAAAAATTACTATTAATATTGACTTCTCAAATTACCATAAATTTTTAATTTTTAAGAATCATATTATAGTTGTTATAATATTAATAAGACACTCTTTTTCACAATCAACATTTTATTCGTTCTAAAATAATATTAGAAACATTATAAAAAATATATATATTTAAATATATTCATCCTTTTAATATATATATATATATATATATATATATATAATTTTGATAAAATATTTTAGAATAGTAAATAAAAAGTTTTACTATACATAACATATTTATTGATTATATACATATACGTGAATTAAATCATTATTAACACTGATTTTAAATATATTCCAATAATAATCTTTGATTTATATAAAAAAATAATTATTATCACCCGATTGAATTAAAATAAAATATTATAAACAAGAAAAAATATCAAATTTTCAATACATAATAAGGATTATTAATTTTTTATAAATCATAATCATGATAAATACATTCACAAATAATATAATAATGAAATAAAAATAAAATATTAAATTATATAAATTATTTTTTTAAGAAAAGTTTACATCGGTAAATGTCAAAGCAAAGCTATGGGAGCCAACCAAATAAATATAATTTAAATGTATTAAAAAACAAATAGAAACAAAAGCAATTAAAAAATATTAATAAGTTTTAATGTATTTGATTGTCTTTGAATGAAAATAAATATTTCTTAATGATTCTGCCACTGAGGTGATAATTATTCCATTTAATTGGATAAATATAATATATTAAAAATATTAATATGAATAATATATATATATATATATATATATATATATATATAATTAGAATTAGAATTATCATTTTGCTAAGAAAAATTAAAACATAATTAGAATCTTCATTTTATGAGTAAAATTATTTTTCTATTTTATTTTTAAGTGTTTTTCCTTTTATTTTTAAGTGATTAATTTATGAATATTTTCATAAGATATTTTTTTATAATAAATAAGGGATGAATGGTCTTATCACCACCATCATAATTCTTGTTACTCTTCTCTAATATTTTCTTTTCTCTTTTTTGTCATCATTTTATCTCACTTCTAGCAAGTATATGGATGAAAGGTTAGATTTCACGGAATGGAAAAAAGAAAAAGAGAAAGAGAATAGAAGGTGAAATTGTTTAAATTGAGAGAAAGAGGATTAAAATGAAAAAAAGTAAAATAACTTTATATTATATTAATATTTATATTTTAATATATAATTAGTTATTATTATAAAACATTAATAAAAAATTTAAATATAATATATGATTGAAAATAAAATGTTAAAATTTGATTTGTATAAAAATAAAAATAAAATAATAAAGCAATTATTCTTTCATTTGGGAGACACATAAGTTTATATATTGAAAAACATAATTCTTCATAAATCTTTGGTCTCATCATCGTAAAAGAAAGTATACAATATTATTTGAAACGAGAATATTATACTCGCATTTCTTTTCCCCTTTATCTTTCTAAAACCATGAAATAAAATATTTTTTACAATTATTTTTGAGAATGAAATATAACAATAATAAAATGTGTTTCATATTTATTTCTAGGAATGAAACACATTCACTTTTATTAATGAAATAAAATAATAAAATATTATTCAGCTTCACTTTTAGGAATGAAATATAACAAATCATGTGAATACCATGAGTTTTCAATAAAAAAAATCATTATTTTGTTCATAAAATTCAAGTAATATAAGATTTCACATGATAAATATCACATAAAATTAAAATATTAAATTAATAATAATTACATTATATATTTATTATGTATTGAGAAGAAATACAATTGTATTTATTATGCGCAACTATAAGAAATTTTAATATTACCGAGGGTCAAAATCCGTTAGTAATTTTCATTTATCATCAAATTTTCGATCTGTTAGACAGACAAAAATAAGAATCATTTCGGTAATATTTTTATTATTTATTAAATATTTTATTTATATAGCTTATTTATTTTATAGAATCCTTTCCTTTATATTTTTATTATTAATCATTTTCCCCTATTACATTTTTAAAACTTTTAATTATGATTAGATTAAGACAATTGTTATTGTCGGATTCGAATCATTTGGTAATATTTTTATTATTTATTAAATACTTTATTTATATAGCTTATTTATTTTATAGAATCCTTTCCTTTATATTTAATCATTTTATTAATCACTTATAGAATCCTTTCCTTTATTATTAATCATTTTCCCCTATTACATTTTTAAAACTTTTAATTATGATTAGATTAAGACAATTGTTATTGTCGGATTCTGACTCAGTACCTTAAAGTTAGAGACTCGATACTCCAACCACTAAGTTAAAAATTTTTTTTTATAATAATTTACAAATAAATTATATTTATATATTTATATATTTATATATTTATTTTTATATTTATATATTTGTATATTTATATATTTATATATTTATATATTTATATATTTATATATTTATATATTTATATATTTATATATTTATATATTTATATATTTATATATTTATATATTTATATATTTATATATTTATATATTTTTATTTTATATATTTATATATTTTTATATATCTATATATATTTATATATATTTATATATTTATATATAATTAAATATTTTTATATATTTATATATAATTAAATATTTATTTTTTTAAATTATTTAATTTAAGAAATTATTATAAATTAATCTAATTATGATTAAATTAAATTATTAAACAAAAAATATTTAATTTTTTAATTAGTACTAATTTTTAATTTATCGACGGAAATATCTCGTCTGTAATTTACAGATGAATTTACCGACGGATATATTAATTATTAATTTATCGACAGATTTACCGATCGAATATATCCGGTCGGTAAATTCATCTGTAGAATTACCGACGGATTTATCAACGGATATATCCGTCGATAACTAATTATTATTTTATCGACGGATATATCCGTCGGTAAAATCAAATTCCACAAATATTTTATATCCATCGGTAATTTCAATCGGTAATTTTCAGTCAGTAATAATTATTTTTTGACGAATCAAGTAATACGCGATTTTCTTATAGTAATATAAATAATATATAAAATTAGAGAAATAGTTACCTAGCTACGTCCCCAATCTTTGTGGGGATAACATGTTATAAAATAAGATTTTAGTAAAGATACAGTGTTATAGAAAAAAATCTTAAAATAATAAAAAAAAGAAAAATTTAAATTCCTATTTTACCAAATAAGATATCCTACCATTATATGTACAATCCGATTATAACTTTACGAATATTTAAATTATATAAATGATAATAAAGACTTGTAAAAATTAATAGTGGACAATGTACAATCAATAATGATTCTTAATATATTTTTATTTATTAAACCTATTTTAAATATATTTCTAATTTAATTATATAAAAATTTTAATAATAATATTTAATTTTTAAAAATCATATATTAAACATATAATAAGATATTATTTAGTGAATTGTCGTTGGAATTAGTGTTAAGTTCGACAGGGAGGTGGGTGAATTAAATACTAAAATATTTTAAAAAGAACAAATAATTGGAAGTGGAGAATGAATCTTTCAAATTATCAATTAAATGACATCATAGGTGTAGGAATCAATAAAGACAAGAATTCAACAAGATGAAGATAAATGTAAAATATTTATACTGGTTTACTCGTAAAAATGCTAAAGTCATGAGCCAAGAATTTCATTATAACAAATCAACTTATAACCCGTAGAAACCTATCTATCTCAATAGTCTTTTTGAATGTCAAGAACAACTTTTTACACAAGGAGTGACCCAATCAATCCACGCTATCCAATCACAAATATTGCTAACCACAATAATTACAAGAGAAATATATTTGATATCACCCGAAAATAAGACAACTAATACAGATAAAGAATGAGCCATGTGAAGAAATCTCCTCAAGCTTTCAATACAAGTATGATCGCTATGAGGAAATCAAGAAAGTCTTCAAGATTAGTTGTGAAAATTGATCTTTTGCATAAGTGGGCGCAAATCACTCTAAAAAATTGATGAAAGTTGTATGTTGAAAATGTTAAAAATCAAAGAGTTAATAACACCTTCTCTTAATTTTAATTAATTAATGTCTTTTTAAATTGTTAATTTCACTTAATAATAATTTAATCAATTAAATTGAGCTTTTAATTGAAATAGAACTGTTATAAGACGCTTGAAACACATCAAGAAGTTTTAACATATTAAAATACTTTAATAACCAGACACCTTTGAAATACTTAAAAAACAAGGAACTTTTAATTTATTAAAGTCAGATTCAACATATTAAAAAGTGAGGACTAATATCACTTTTCAGTGGTGAAGAACATCTTAACCTATTAAAATAAATTTAATAGATTAAATCGGAGACCCACCAAATTTAACATATTAAAACAGCAAGGAAACATACAGTTTTAGTCTTTAATGATTTTAATGTATTAAAACCAACTTTTAATCCATTAATTAAGTAATCCAAGAATCATTTTAATAAATTAATACAATTTTTGACAAATTAAAGAGACTTCTTTAATAAGAAAATAAGTTTTTCATAGAACCTTTCATTAAAACTCAAAAAGGAGAAATATGTTTACAAGTAACCAACATGCGACATTTTTTTTTTTTTGCAAGACACAATCACACACAAAACACTTGGTTTCATCAAATCTTCAAGTTGAATTTGCATACTAAATTTTACAATTTTAAAAAATAAAATAAATAATTTTTAAAATATTTAACTTTTAACATTTTTTTAAAGTAATCATTTTGTAGTGTAGAATATTATATATTAGATTTTATTACTGTAAGAGTCAATGATATTATTACTTTGTGGGTGAAATCTTTGTTTTCTTTTATTACTTTGCCACCGTAGCTCACCATGATATAGACGTTGCTGAAAGTGTGATGGGTGTGGTTTTGTCTGTTATTGAACTTTGATTGTGTTGTGAAAGTAAATTAGTGTTTCCAATTCCATTCTCGTTTAATTTCAATTTTTCAAGTTGTAAAATGTATTATTTAGAAATTGAATGTTCTTTTGTTTTCTTATTACTTCATTGAGATGATATGAAATTCTGCGAAAATTTCAGGTCTAAATCTAATGCCCATTGCTGGAGAAAAGAAAGAACCAATTAACCGTAGTTACTTACTCCTTCCCTGTTACATGAATAACTGAAGTAACCACTCGGTGCTGAGAAAAGGAACAGAAAACGGAAAAGGAAAATGACGCGAATGTTCCTTCATGTGTTCTTCAGACAATGCTCCACACAGGCTTCATTACCATGTGTCATGCACCTCGGTGCTTCAACGCCACCTGTAACTTAAACCACCGAATCATCATCTGTTCCCTTCTGACAAGTGTAAAATCCTCTTTCTCATTTCTTCTCTTCTAATATCCCAAAAACACCTACATTGCTATATATAAATTCCAAGTCTCAATCCTAAATCCATTCACTTCAAGCACGTACAATTCACTCTTCACTTAAAATAAGGTTGTGATCAAGAGCACCATGAGCCAGGAGCAGCCGGAGAGGCCTCAAGCGAAGAACGACCCCATCAAATACGGCGACGTTTTCGACGTCTCCGGGGAGTTGGCATCGCAACCCATCGCGCCAAAAGACGCAGCTCTCATGCAAGCTACAGAGAACCAAACATTAGGCCAAACTCAAAAGGGAGGCCCCGCCTCCGTCATGCAATCCGCAGCCACCATCAACGTCCGCCAAGGAAACGTCGGCCGCGGCGATTTCTCCGACGTGGCGAAGGAGCACGGCCTTAGCGTCTCCGAAACCAAAGTGGATGGCCACCGCGTCATCACGGAGTCTGTGGGAAGACACGTGGTGGGGCAGTTCGTGGAGCCCGAAGTGCCGATGGAAACCCCCGGCACCGCGCTGGAGCGAGATGCCATAACCATCGGCGAGGCGCTGGAAGCGTCTGGGGTGGCCGGAGCGGGGGACAAGCCAGTGGATGAAAGCGACGCCGCCGCAATACAAGCGGCGGAAATGAGAGCCACCGGGAAGAACGAGACAGAGGCTGGGGGGTTGGGCGCGAGGGCCCAATCTGCAGCGACACGTAACACGCGCACTGTGCCTGACTCTCAGAAGACAACCTTGTCTGATGTCTTAGCAGTAATTAACTCGTCTTATCTCTTCATTCTCACCAACAATGAGAAATTAAGTGTTAATATTATGAACGTAGGATGCGAGGGAGAAACTGCCAGCTGATAAGGCCGTTACGCGAGAGGATGCAGAGGGAGTGATCGGAGCTGAGCTGAGGAACAAATTGGACATGAGAACCACCCCTGGTGGGGTCGCTGCATCCATGGCTGTCGCAGCCACCATTAATCAAAACAGTTAAGTTTATTAAATACCATAATATCACTTGTCATTTTTGTTTTATTATTATTATTATTATTACCATAACTAAGAACATATCCAATGCAGGATCTTAAGATAAGACTTTTTACATTGGAGATCCTCTCCATTGTAGGTTTTCATGTACTATTAACTGAATTTATGATTTTGTGTGAAACATGCAGGAAAAACGGGATGATGAATGAACATCTTACAAATGGCAGAGTTTAAACAAATAAATCAAGCACTCTGAGTTTGACTTGTAGCACTCCACTAGATCTAGTGCCCCTTTTTTTGTTTTCGCTTTATGAATTGTGCTTTTTTGTGTATTTGGACTCTCTACTTTAATAGTAATATTTTCTTTTTTTAGAAAAAGATCATTGCCTCATAGTGGATGTGCATGGAGAGGGGAAGTTGAATCATAAAGCCAGAATAACAGAAGAAGCATTTCCCTTTTCATACCTCGCCCTAAAAAAGACACGATTAATCAATTAAATTATATAAGTATGACTATATGTAAGTGTAATAGTTTAACTTAAATTATGAAAGTAGTCTGACAGAAGCTTAATTCTGTCCCCATCTTTACTTTTTAAATTAATTTTTTTAAATGAATTTTATATTTTATATTTTATATTTTAAAATTTAAAATTTAAAATATGTATAATTTTCTTTAAATTGTTCCTTTTGTATAAATTTTTATTTTAATTCATTCCTTTAATACATTTTGATAAATATTGAAAATGTAAAATTATTCTAACTAATCACATTTTATATTAATAAAATAATAAATCCAACACTAAACTTTGTAGACATAAGAAAGGAACGGTGAGTTTCAAGAGAAAAAAATTCAAAATTCAATTAATATACAAGTCAAAACTTTTAATTTTCTTGGAATACCAAATTCAAAGTTAAGCTAATTCATTTTCAAAATTGAAACTTTAAGTCGTATGTCATCATCGAGGGATTCACTTCTTGAGTGAGTAGGTAGTGTATACTAAGAATTGGATTGAAACGTTGAGATTCAGTTATCATGCTTGTGCATAATCTTCAATTCAATGTCCAATGGAAGCACGCCCTCCCATTTATTGATTTGTCTTAGATTTTTTTCATAAATTAATTTGAAAATAATTTCAAATCAAAGAATTTAATGTTGGTAAAATTATAAAGTAGTCGAGAAAGTTGAAATCGTTTTCTCTTTCTCCACGTGAAATCCATGCTATAGAAACGAACAAAGTCTAGATTCCAAGTACGAGACTACAACCCAATTTTGCTGCCTCTGTTTCCCCTCATTTGAGGCTCATCAAAGATTTCTCCTTTTTAATTTTGCCATTGGAGAGGATTTTTATTATATTTTTTGAATGAGCATCATAATCATTATGCACGTTGAGGGGACGTAACAAGAGAAAGAATCAATATAACTTTCGGAAGTGAGAAAATAAATCAGCATTTGAGTTCGTCAAATTGTATCAGTTCACTAGCGTCTACGCTTTCTGATCAACAAAATAGCATGTGCATTCGATTGCCGAAAACAGAAAAAAAAAAGAGCATATCTTATCTGGTTAAGCCTTTAATGCATGGCAGGCAGAGACATATGATCAGTCCAAGACATGATCGCATGCTATTCCTATCCAACGTACTCCATAACATATGTGTAACACTGACATACCCACGTTGAGTATGGTCTAAGTGGGACACCATGAACATAAACATTGAGATTCAAGCTAAAGCTAAATCAAAGTAATGTAAATTTCACTAATCAAATAATTACGTAAAAATAAACGAAACAAAACAAAGTCAACCTACACCCTGTGTCTTCGTATTGATAAATTATTTTTCAAAATTCAAGTGTTACTAAATAACTTTGTCATTAAAGCCAGAGATGCTATCAAATCAAGAACATATGCATGCTTGAAGTTGAGTTGTTCAGAATCATGATTTTCCACAACTAATGATTCTTCTCCACCAGTGTTAGACTGTTAAGTAAGAGTGTCGGTTTCGTACCAAAATTATATATATATAAGCAGGCACAGTAGACCACTATTGGTGCATGACTGAGTTGGTCAGTGTGCCTGTGGACAAGTGCAATTAAGTTCGCATGCAATTTATAGACCTTGCACAGTTCATTATATACGTATGTGATTCAGTAAGACTGGTGAAGTGAAGACTCTTATCGCTCCAACTCCTGAACACAATTATAGTGGTGAAATCAGGAGTTACATATTAATTTAGTAGCTTAATTTAAGTTATAAAGAATGTATTTTAATATACTTACATATAGAGTATGTAGTGTTATTTATCAGTTCTCATACCTTCCAGTTCCTAGCAGAGGCAAAAACTAAACGACCGAATGTAGTAACTTTTGGTGGTAGAAATTGCATCGTGCTCAATTATATGCCTAGAAATAAAAAATAAAATAAAAATATTAGACAAAGATAAAATTGTTGTTGGACACATGAAGTACGATCATATGAAGAGATATAATATAACTCATTTTTGGTAGTTGGCGGTGCATGTGGTTAAGGGGACCAATAATTCAAGTTAATTAAATGAAATATGAGGCCAAACATAAGATATTTTTTTAATGTAAAAGCTACTGGGAAATAGCATGGGAAACTCATAATTTGAAGGTATATGCCCGTTTATCTACCTATCATTCAGCTGGTGTTACAGCAATGTCTGCAATGTGGAGTTCCTAATTCCTTTTTTATTGCATTTTTCTGTTGCCAAATTAAAAGAACATTCACTAATTTCTGTTTCAATGTGAGAAAGCAGAACTTGGTCATTAACTTATATAAGTAATGGTTCTCATCAACGATATTTCATGATTATTTGTGATGGATATATAGCACTTAGTAGAATGAAAATGGCATTAGGGTCTGGACTGAAAATGAAGCAAAATATTTCATCTATTGAAGCAACCCCCATGTGGTTCTGGGAAGGCTGTGATTGTAAAGGTTAGTTGGACCATCCTTATAATAGTTTCCATTCCAAATCATAGAACCTAAAAGTGAGAGAAACTTTGGGATCAACATTATGCATGTATATATTTGTGTACATTCAGGTTGTTTTGTGTGTACATGTTTTTGAAAAAAAAGTATACGTACAATGAAGAGCGCATTGTTTTTATGGTGTCTGTGAGAAGCTAATATGCCAAGCTGAAGAGCGTTTTGTTGATCTCTCATCTCTTGTTTGAATTGTTGAGTGATGAGACCATACATATGTCCTCCAAAGGAACAAGACGTTGATGTTAGGAGTTTGCTCCTTGGCTTTTTCTTTTCCTCGTTATTATGCAGCGCACGTTTTGATTCAGTGGATTCTGCACTCTGCTACTTCCAGTGCAGTGAACACAGCGTCACGTACGTGAATGATTGGAATTATTAAAGCTGGGACCACCATATCTGACACTAAAATCGCAGAGACCTGCTTTACCATCACCATTGTTGGAACAACATTACAAATTGTATCATAATTAACGGATTTTCTATCATGGATTTTTGTCCCCAATTCGTTTGATCTTGTTGGTAATTGAGAGTTTCACACATCATCATGATGATGATCCTAATTTAATTTTTGTACTGCAAAAAGAAGTTCACAAACATCTATGACTGTGAGTGACCAGTTAATGCATATAAAAGCAAACAATTATAAAACACTTGAAGTGAAAATGAAAATCAATTATTACAACAAGTAATCTCGTAATTACAACCTAAAAAACGTGACAAGAAGAAAAAAAAGGATAATATATCACCATATTTGAATGAGAGTATAATTTTAATGCTTTGGTTGAAAAGAAAAAAAAGTGAAAAAATAACATAATTTGGATTAAATGAAATAGGTGAGATAAAATTTACTTATTAATAATTATTGTTTAAATTATTTATTAATATTATAATAAAATATTTTCGACCTAATCTATGAAAAAAGAATACGTTGACAATAAATGATAAAATGATATTTAGAGAGAAAAATAAATAAATTTTATAAGAACAATATATAACATTATATAGTTTTTATATTTTTTTTAAGTAAGTATCTTTTATTTTTAAGAGTGTTTACATATTTTTTTATGAAATGAAGCAGATCCTCGTCCTCCTCCCCTTTCCCTCCCCTGGACAAAACAAGGCGTAAGAGATTCCTTCCATGATCATAGATTGAAAAGTGAGGCAGAATCTCCTCGGGAAAAGTGAGAAAAAATGACTCGTCATCTGGTGAAGAAAGTGTATTTATTGATTTTGGAAATTTTTTAGTGTTGAAGTACAGACCCGCATACGTTAGTAAACTTGAAACCCAAACGCTCACTTGACAAGAGAGGAATTCCAGCTATTGTTGAAGTTGAAATTTAAAACTTGGATGTTCAGATGTGTGTGTTTTCACTTTGTTGACTCAATCTTGTGCACATCACGGTGTATTACAAGCTCCAAAAGTGGTATTTTAGAGGCTGAAGAAGTGTTGAGAGAAGATATAAAATTGTTGTTTGAGGCACGTTGTTAGGAGGGTAGCCAGGAATTTAAATATGATTGTTATGCAAAGCAAGAGTATGAAAACAGGATGAGAGTGGGACCGAATTTGAGAGAAGCTTTTATTGTGGTATCTTGCATGAGTAATGAATTGATAGGAGTCTGATACATCACTTTCCTGTGTGGTGATTTTATAGTAGATCTGTGCATGAAATGGACCAACCATGAGTAATATTGTCTTATACTATTTGGAATCCTTCTATTTTTAATGATTTTATCATCGCATTGGTATTCACTACTCCGTTTGTATCTGATAAACAATTTAATATATACAACTGAAAGGCTTGTTACTGGTTTGTGCCTTGCTTTTGTCTGATACCTCTTTAGTCTTTATCGTTTCCCATGTGCACCTTGCTTTCATCTCAAACTAAGCCATACACTGAAAACCCGCATGATTTGGGCGTTTCGCTATACTAGTCTTTTAGTAATTTACACGCTCCTGTCACCTCATATCCATAAAAATGATAGAACTTCACCTCAATATCATTCACTTTTTTCATCACTTAATATCTTGTTTCACCATATATATATTATGTATTTTCCCTTGGATATATAGCTCACAACTACTCTGGCTTTATAATAATATATATTTGGGTATTCATACACCAAAACCTTCTTGGTATCTGCACTATTTTCCTTCGCTTCTTCTAAACATCTTTTTCTTTTTGCAAACAAAATAATATGCCAAGCACAAGAAATCTGAGGCACCTCAATCTCAACATGAACCTCAACATGTGTTGCTCAAACTCGGCTACTCCTGAATCAGAATCTCCTCCATTGAGCCCCGCTACCACTTACTCACATCACAACACTCAATGTCCATCTCCTTCTTCCATTATGATAAAGAACTTCAACTCTATCTATGACCCTACCTTGACCTCCAACCACTCTTTCAGCTCCACTTTCTTCTCTACCACCACCTTCTTCGAACCCGAACCAGAACCCCAACCTGAACCTGCCGACTTCGCCACTGCCTTCGCCTCTCAGAGGTTCTTCTTCTCCTCTCCCGGCCTCTCCAACTCCCTAGTTGAATACACCAACACCAACAAAACTACTCAACAACACTCAGCATCGTTGAGAGAAGATGGTGGGCTTGAGAAGATGAAGATGAAGATGAAGAAGAAGGTGTTGTTCAAGGGGAGCGTGGCGGTGGCCACCTACTCGCCGGACCCTTACGTGGATTTCCGGCGGTCGATGCAGGAGATGGTGGAGGCGCGTCCGGAGCTGATGGACGTGAAGTCGAATTGGAATGTGTTGCATGAGCTTCTTCTCTGCTATCTTGCGCTCAACCCAAAGAGCACCCACAAGTTCATTCTTGGTGCTTTTGCTGATCTTCTCGTTAGCCTCATGTCTTTCTAGTGCTGGATCTTCAATTTTTGGATGTAAATTCAAATAATGAAACATGTAACGTTCTTTCCAGATACTGATTGTTTCATTAATCAATCTCCTTCTTCATTGCCTCACTCATTTTTGTTCTTCGCTTCATTTGGGCTTGTGTTATATCAGTAATAAATATTAAAAAAGGATTCATGTAAATAATAAGGATCTTCTTTCAGATTTTAAGTTGAAACAACCTTATTGATTCATGCGTTTTGTAGTTGTGCATACTTACAGCAAGATGGTAGTATGTGCAAGAAATTACGATCAATCTTTACTTAAAATGTCATTATGTGTCATATGAAAACTGGAAACACTTTTCAGACCGTATAATACTGTAAGTGACATCTTTGATTTCTTTCCTTTGAGGGTGGGGAACCTCTACTCAAAGTTGGTCCCCTCAGGCATGCATTAATTTGGTCGTTGTCTTTGTCATCTTCCATTATCCTCCTTAATCTTTATCCATCAACCTTTCCGTGTTCTTTTTCAGTTTTTTTTATACAATAGAGTACTAGTACTTGTTTTATTTTGAAAAGAGAAATTTTGAAAGTCTTGAGAAGAGAATAATTGCAAACATCCATCTCATTTTGGTTGGGTAAATTTGGATGCAGGAAAAATAGAGAGAAAAAAAGTGTAAGTATAATATACAGTGTGGTTATAGATAAAGAGAGATTTAAAGTGAAAATGAGGTGTATGCTAATTTATTGGGACCATCTTATTAAAGCTGCCCTTTGAAAATGGAAAGTCATTATTATGCCTTCATAATTTATACTAGGAGTATGTGCGAAGCAACTTAAAAGAAACATGAAATTCCTTGATTCTGTGGTCATGTAACATGCCGTATTGTTAGCGTCTCATATTGTACTTCGGAAATTAAACTGAGTTAATGCTGCATGAGCGGTTGAAGAAGTTGCTGCGGACAACATTAGTCAAGAACCTCAGCATAAATAACTAGAAAGTGAAATGCACAAGCCAGCTTGCCAAATACATTAGGGTAGGGAATGAGTGTGTTTTATTTGTTCATACTGCATTGGTATTTTAGCTAATCATCAAAGGAAAGAACAAAAACTAGTCTCCACCCTGCAATTGCAGAGGGGCAAAGGACTGGTCCTTTTAGCTGTGGCATGAGACTGATCCATGATGCAGTGTTATTCTCATTCAACCTTTCAATGAATGCTTTATTAGCCTTTAATTTATGTCAAAGGTTATATGCAGAACAGTGGTAAAGAAATGGAATTAAACTCAGATGAATCATGAAAGATTCTGACATTTTTTGCATACCTATGATATTTTCTCTCTAGTCCTTTGTAACACAATTTAACTCACAGGCTTTGCAGCAACGAAATTTACTTGTCAAAGTTGGCTGCTATATTCCATGTGCCCACGCGCGTGTACATCCACTGATTACTGTTATTAACTTGTTGCGCAGTGAAAATTGTGACAAATCCATTTCTATAAACAATTACAACTCGTTACTTAATTGTTGTTTGATTGCAGAGAATCGATGCATCCAGACAATGAGTGCACAGAAAGGGCCAAATGCTAATCAGTAAAATAAGAATTGGCAAACAGACAGAATCAAGGAATCCCAATTTTGTGGCCCCTTCTCGTTTTTTTTATCGATGGTTTCTTTATTTTTATAACGAGATGACTGGGATAAGCCACGCTGAAGATTCACTCAGTGAATATTTATTTTGGTATTATCCTTTTCATTTTATAGTTCATGAACTGAGCTTAGAGCTAAGAAATCACTATAAACGCTGTATTTCCTGTTAAGGCAGGAACAGAGAATAAGAAAATAAAAGTAATAATTATTCGATAGTCCACAATTTATTGGGCCGCTAATTAAAGCTTGCGGCTAAGAGAATTGAAGGATAAAAGAGGTTAGTATTAAATTAGTATTGAAATTAAATCATAATAAGGGTACGGTGATTATGCTACAGTAGTTCCTTATTAAAATAAAAATAAAAATTAGTTAGTGAATGCATATTTTGATCATGCTACACAGTAACTTCCCATGAAATGTATTCCTCAATTATTTATTTTGCTTTTTAACTCCAAAAAAATTAATCATGATTGGATTTTTCTTTGTCATTTTTACAATTTTTATTTGTTTATCATTAATATTAATATAGAATGTTTAACAATTTTTCTTTGTAGTCTTTTTAAGAATAAATAAAAATTCATCTCCACTCCTGAATTTCAAATTATTCCAAATCATTAATTAATTATTCATTTTTATAATGTTAATTTATTTCATGATTGTCTATAGTTTTATTTATCTTCACCAAAACTTTTATCTTCTTCGGTGTCATTGAATTTGATATTCTCAACTCATACTTCTTCATCATCTATATTTACTATTATTTCATCCTCAAGATTTGGTCTAAGGAATTTAATTATTTCAATTTCATTAACAAGTTGCAAATAAATTTCTACAAATAAATATCCATAATATAAAAAAATGAAAAAAACTGATGTTATAATGACAACAAAGTAAATGTATCAAAACACCCACATGTATCCATACCCACACACCAATGCAAATGGACAATGATAAAGGAACATCATCAATGCAAAGATCTTTGTCAAATAACTTATCCGAGGAACATATTTTTTTAAAACATATTAACTTCAAAGTAAAATCAAAATCATATAATTAATACAAAGACATTGAAAAATAATGACATATATAATTCACTTTGTTAATAAAACCTTTTTACATTTTTTTAAATCAGGGATTAACGAAATTTATGCTTAAAAATAAACATGAATATTTTATTATAGATTACTTAAAATTTATTCGGAATTATTTATATAAGTAATTTTTTCTAATTTTAAAAATCTTCTCCAATCATTTAAACCATAATTTTCGATATTTTTATTTGTAACTAAAATAAATTATTTAAGATATTGTTCATTTATAATTAAAATAAGTTTTTCTATTATTATGACAATGGTAAGGTAACCCAACATGTAATTATTTCCGTGCTCACTTCTTTGTTATTGTCCAACTCTATTGTTGTTAAGTTGATTATTAACTGAGAATATCACTTTTACGATTTTAACAGTGCAAAGAGATTTTAGTTAGAAAGCTCGAATCCAAACCCATTTTAGACAAACGCTACATGACACGAGCTTTCCAAATTATTACAAAACTTCAAATTTTTTTCCCAATTTTCTTTTGAAAGGCGCATAACACAAATTCTGCAAATCTTAGTTGCTGCTTATTTCGCATTCTTAGATTGTACCTGTCACTTCTCTTCAAATTTTAATATTCATTTCCATTTTTGTCATGTTTTATTAAAATTAGATTTTATCAAATTCATACAAATTTGCATCTATGTGTGACGTGTTTTTTATAATTTTAATTTATTTATATATTTATTTCTAGTGTAAATGATTCATTATTTGATGTAACTAATAAAACTTACATGATGAATCACTTAAACACTAGGTAAGTTTTTTAAATTTATTCAAAGTCTAATACATAGTAGGTTTAATTAAAGATCGTTCATATTTAATTTTTATTTTTAATATTATTTAAAACATTTAAAGTAAATTACAAGAACGGTAAAAAATAATAAAAGTAAATTGCTGAAAAGTAAATGTGCAAAGAAAATAAATGACATAAAAATAAATTTAACTCATTACCAAGGATAAAATAGATTTTGATAAAGAAAATCAATGAAATTAACTATCCAAATTACAAAGAATTCCATTGAAAATGTTTGTTTCTAGTTCAGTATCATTTTTTCAGAATATAAGTTTAGTCGTAGAATTTGACAATCACATCAATTACATTTATTTTATACTATATATATTTTTCAATGTAACCACCAAGGTGACATAAAGATAGAATAATAGTAGTGAAAATAAAAAATAAAACTATTAATTAGAATCTTCAAACAGTTATTTCTTTGTAACTGTTTTCCTTCTCTTCACTTTGTTGATATGTATCACTTGTAACTATGCATACTAAGGAACTGAATCATAACTGTCTCCATAAATCCTTCGATACACCACTCAAAGATTCTCTAATATAACCCCCTGTCGATATTTTATTTCCTCTATACATTGTGTCTTTGTGCTTCGATGTTCTCCACTTTTTAATTACTCAATTCTCAATTATTGATGCTCTGACTTCTTTAATATCCCCCAATTCTGTTCTTTCGATAACACCTACTGATGACTTTTCTATCCTATAATATATCTTTCTCGATTACTACATTTATTCTTCCAACTGCAGATACCTCTTTTCTCGATTCATTCTTTTAATCTATTTGTAATTTTTTTGAGTTGACAAAATGCTCCCTAAGAGAATACTATATGAATTTCGATGAATATATGTATTCTCTTATCTTTGATACCAACTTTAAATGTTTTATCCTTACTTTATTCAAAAGTATAGACCTCGAATCTTGTCCGGCCTTACAACAAAGTTCAGAAATTCTTCGTTTTGAAGATGGACAAGGCTTCATCGGGCCCATATTTGTGTTTATTAGGTTCCATTAAGGAAAGGAGAGTTTTCTTAGAAAAAAATAAAAAATAAAATTTTTGTCAGAAGACCCGGGACAATCGTCCCGAATCCTAGACGGTCGTCTCACCCTCCTTGGTGGCCTAGGACTGCTGTCCCACCCTCTTTGGTAGCCTGGGACGGTCGTCCCAAATCCCAAGCAACCATCCCGCCTGACAAAATCTGAAACGGTCGTCCTAACCTCCTTGGTGAGCGTGCCTATAAATAGGACGTTAGTCCTCATTGTTTTGGACACTTTTCAAAGACTTTTTCACCTCCACACACCTCTAGACACTATTCTAGACATCGAGTGATCTTTCCAATTATCCTTTTTGGGCAACAAATCGGTTAAGGAAGTCTCCTTTGAGACATCTGACTCTCAGCAGTTTAAATCTTTATTTGTTCGAGGGAGGAGTGTCCGTGTAGTGTAAGGGGATTGCCAAAAAGCGTCATCAAGTTTAAATAT